GATGGTTCGATAAAATGTAAAAAAAAACACTAGTGGCTCCATTCGTTTGTTCGCAATTGTAAAATAATATTTTCTCTCGCCTAGGTTCTGTATTCAATTTAATCCTTTGAAAGTACAAACCGAGATTAACTTAAGTTGTCACTTTGTTTTTACCACTTTATCTCTTGTAATCCTTTATTTTATGATTAAATTTTCATGAAAATATTAAAGTCTAAAATATAAAGTGCTTTAGGTTTTAATTTTTCATTAACTGAAAGGTCTTAAAATTAGTGCGTGGGTCTAGTTGTGGGTGGAACCTGGCTTGTAGGGTTTTAAAGGATTGCAGAGTTATTAAATTGACTGGACGATTAGCTAATGGTTTCGAGACTGGCTTTTCAAGAAAATTGTTAATACTATTTATATTTTAAAGCTAAAATAAAATCATTTACTTCAATAAAAAGTTAAATAAAATTAATACTAAATTAAATATATACATCTTAAGATTAAAATTAATTAAAAGAAAACTAAAAACAACTATTTACATAAAGCATCGAAAAATTCGTCCGCATCGACGTCAGTGGGGAAAGTACCCAGAAGGCTGGCAGCATTGCCACGTTGTATGGCAATGCTTAACCTCTGACCGAGAAAAAGACCAGCCCTCTGGTCACGAGATGTGTCGACCAGGCGTTTTGAAATGTTTTTGAATAATTTAAGCGCACTCGGACCTCACGGACCTAGCGTCTCAACCCCAAACGGCTCAAAGAATTATTTTAATTCATCAAAATTAGAATAGACATGACTATAAGCCTCCTCTTCATATAAGGGTGTGCACTAATTTTTATGCTTGGCAGGCAGGATAGACAACAAAACTATGTAACTATAAAATTGTATTGTGAACCTAATTGAAAAAGAGTAACCTATGGAGTTTCTTGTTCGCTCTTCTCTATAAGAATCTACACCTATGGAATGAGCAAATAGCTTCACTTTTAATTGTTTGTTTGCCTTTCAAAAGTGAAATAAATTATTTACACTTTGACTTTAGACATTTCAATAGGCTTCTTAGACTTTATAGGCTTTTCAGTGAATGATATTGCTAAGGTGCTTATCGACTCTTACTTAAGATGCATGTGGGATGAATAGGAGTTGTAATAAATCTATTACGTTCTTAAACATGGTTTACTCATTAATGAAAATCTCAACTAATTGAATTGACTGCACGGTTGCTGTGGTGTGGATTGGCACGCAACGTTTCGCGGGTTCAATTCCCGCACGGAAGAAATATTTGTGTGATCCACAAATTGTTGTTTGGAGTCTGGGTGTGATGTGTATGTTAAACTGTATGTTTGTAAACGCTCTCACGATACAGGAGAAAATCCTAGTGAGGGACAAGGTTTTAAAAAAAAATGCAAGTCATGCCAAAGGCTCATATTCATGAGTAGCATTCCGCGACACGACACGGCGAATTTTACTGTTGTGTCGCCGCGTCGTGTGTCGGGGAATGCTGAAAACCTAATAATTAATTTAGATTGTCTCACGAAAGTTATAATATAAACTACACGGCATATTTCCCACCCTTAATTAAATTATTTGTCGACAGATTTAGACTTAGACCTACACAAGGTAAATCGTAGCGATAATGTTACAGAATTATCCGTGTATGAGATTGAGAATCTAATTAAAGTTCCATAATTGACGAAAATTGAGGTTAGTTAATATTCATACGTTGACATTCATGTTCCATTTTTAGTGAAACCTTGAGACAGATACGTTTATCATAGTCGTTACATTTTGGCTCTTCTGTTAGGCATAATAGATGCTTAAATTGTGTGTGCATTGTGTGAGGAATAATAGTAAAGAGAAGGGTGTTTTTGAAGTGAAAAATTAAAGAGTTAAGCATGAGCGTTAAATAAATTTAAAAGTCACGATTCTCGTCAAAACAAATGTTTTGCTTTCCATTTAAAATAATAAATTCGATTTTTAGCCGTAGTCTTCCTACTGCAGGGCAAAGGCCTCCCTACCCTCCTTCCACTCATCTCTTCTTATAGTTTTCTGTGGCCAATCCTTTTCATAGGCGTTCAGTTCGTCCCGCCATTTCCTTCTGGGCCTTTTTTTTAAGGGGGGAAAATCATCGAATGCCTGCTCCCGCCTGGGTAAGGCGGGAGGGAGTGTCAGACTCTTACTGACTAAAAACCATCCCGTTCCTTCTCCTGCACGTCGACCCGGAGCCACGGTAATCCGTTAGGTTCTCCGCGACTACCGCGACGTCTACTGATGAAAACATTTGTTATTATTGTTTTTATTTTAGTTTTTATTGTATTTGTATAATACAGTTTGTTTTATATTCATTCTTTATCAAATTTAAAATGTACGCATATATTTAAAATGTTATATTTACGAACCGCTTCAAGAATAAATAACCTCGAACTATTTTTATCATACTTTATGTCGATGCTATTTTCGTGAGCATACTTGCAATATATATTATATAGTGCCATTTATCCTACTTATCAGTACATTTTTCCTTTGAAAGCAAAACAAGGGCCTATAGAGAAATATTTTATTGATAGGAAACGAACAGATTAATGTGTTTGTCAAAGATCCTTGCGTTGGTCCTGCGCGATTTATCACCATTGTTTGTCATACAATAGGAGAATGTAGAAGGTTCACTTATAAATAATTAACAATATAAAAAGACACAATTTTTATTTTTGAGAAAATCATAACAAATTATTACGAATAATATGTTGTTTTAAGTAGTGAAAGAAATTTATACTTTTTGGTATTAAAATATCAAATACCAGTATCATTATTTTCTTTCCGTTTCTTTGTATTTCAATTATTTATTTTCTCTTTAAAGTCTTAGTGTATTTTAAAGGTGCACCTACATATTTTTTTAAATTTTTAAAGTTACTAATAAATGAATGAATATTTAATTGACTAATATTCTGTTTTGCGAATGAAGACAACACTCTGTGTATTTCTCTTTTTACAAATCAGACAATTTTAGCATTTATTCGATTGGTTAAAAATGGCATAAAAATGGACTTCGCATCACTTCACATCACATCACAGACACACAGAGAAAAATACTTAGATATTCATGTAATAAAATAATAGAAAAGTAGTTAAGTATACAGTAATATCTGTTTTAATATTTTTTATAAACCTTCTGTATTATCTCTACACGAAATAAAGTGAGTCTGAGGAAAACTGCGTGAAAAACCAAGCTATCAAACCGAATGATAAATCCAAATCCAAAATGTAATAGATGACTGTTTCCATGATTCACTGTTTATAATCCATAATACATAGGTACGATGGCATATTTTTGTGTAACATGAAATTATGTATCGACATTTTTGGTATTTTTTCGATTCTTTGAGAGATTATTGATGTTATTTTATTCTCAGTAGTGTTTTGACTGCTCAATTAAGTGTATATGGGTAACGCGTCTACGTTGTCGCGCCTTTTGACGAATATGTGCTTCCTTCACAAACAATAGGCGGCCTACAAACTATCTACATAAACTCACAATCTTTCGCATTGATCATATTTCTTTTATTCTATTTTATTTTAAGGGCTTTTAACCCATAGGCTACCACATCGTAACCCAAACTTATTTATCTAATAGCAATTCAAATTAACTAAAAACTAATTGGCCTCTGCCTCGTTGGCTGAGTGGTCGCAAGTGCGACTGCCGGGCAAGGGGTCTTGGGTTCGATTCCCGAGTCGGGCAAAGTATTACTGGGTTTTGCAAAAATCTCGGTAGTAGCACGGAGTCTGGAAATGTCCCCGTTTTTTTGGCAATAGGCTCACCCCCTATTACATGAGACTTATAACATAAATAGTGAAAAGTGGGTGTTACATTGTACAGTGGCATTAAGTGCCGAAATGTGCACCTCTGCCTACCCCTTCATCTTTTGCAACATCATTACAATAGATCGTGCTGCATTGCTTTAAAAGAGACAGACCTCTGAGTTTGTTTCGGCATTTCTTCTCAGAGTAGTCAGTTAGGAAATGTCGGCCTCATCGTTCGCTTGATAAAATTGACATGTGAAAGTGCTGCCTTGTAGCCTATTTGCAGAAATAAATTCACTTGTTTCACTAAAGGGTCTGATAAAATACTAGAAAAGGATTCCAAATCATATTTTTGTAAGACTGCCTCGTTGGCCGAGTGGTCGCAAGTGCGACTGCCGGGCAAGGGGTCTCGGGATCGATTCCCGGGTCGGGCAAAGTATTACTAGGTACCCCTTCGGGGATAAAAGCCGTGATGTTATGTTATGTTATGTAATTTTTGTAAGTAAAATGTTACATCAGTGAGTCTCTCGCCACCTTAAATTTAACACACTTTACCAGCATATTATGATAAACATCACCTAACTTGCCACATACATCGCCGTTTGGTGAATTTACTTTTTTCATAAGAAATGCGAAACTGTTTGTGGGATAATGTCCGCCTCGCAGTCGGAGTAATGTTAAGATTAAATTTTATCGTCCCAGGTTATGTACCGAGATTGAATACAATAAAAATTTGGATTGGGCTCCATATACTTATATTTCTCTTTGACAAGGAACGAACGAAAGAGATAACATATACTTTGTAAAAATATATTTCTGCCTTAGTATATAACGCTAGACTGCCTCGTTGGCCGAGTGGTCGCAAGTGCGACTGCCGGGCAAGGGGTCTCGGGTTCGATTCCCGGGTCGGGCAAAGTATTACTGGGATTTTAAAAATTCTCAGTAGTGGCACGGAGTCTGAAATTGTGCCCGGTATATGGCAATAGGCTCACCCCCTATTACATGGGACTCATAACATAAATAGTGAAAAGTGGGTGTTACATTGTACAGTGGCATAATGTGCACCTCTGCCTACCCAAATGGCGATTAAATATTGCTAGCGTTATGTATGTATATAACGCTAGCAATATTTAATCGCCATTTTTCCAACAGTTAATGACAAAAACTCCATCATAAAAAAATTATAAATTATTATAATTAAATTATGACTTCCTTATTTTCAGAAATCCCCTGAAGAAGCGTTGAAACGAGGTTTGACGAACAAATGTGTGCAGAGAGAGACATCTTCGTGTATAGCCATTGAATTGGTTGGCTACGTGGATCGGATGCTCAGGACAGCATCCTTCCAGCTCGGAGACGATGTTATGATTGTTGATGAAAGGTATTTTTTTTAATAAAAACATTGCCACACTAAAATTGTCTCCTGTGTCGTGGGTGCGTTTATAAACATACAATTTTAAAAACACTTGACATCCAGACCCGGAACAACAATCTGTGGATCACACAAAGAGTTGTTCCGTGCGGGAATTGAACCCACGATACGTTGCGCGGAAACCAGTTACCCAGCCACCGCACCAATTGTACAGTCAAAATTCTTAAATAGTTATTTTTTTAATGTCCCAAAGGACGAGCAAGAGGTATTGCTATATACTTTTTGGTGGTAAGCTCCTAAGTCCTGTATTGTAAAATTAAAACCTTCACATGATCGAACACAATGTTCTTTTTGATATAATAACGACCCAGTTTTTTTGCATGGCCTGTATGTAGAATATTGGGACCTTGTTCACCGCAATCAGTATATTTCAGATTTCACTTTTTAATGCTTAGCTCGGTTTATACATATATTCACAATATAGTTAACATGATGAAATCGACGTTGTCATCAATATTGTGATATATAAACCGTATATCAAATAATCCCAATTTCAACTCTATTTACAAAGTAATAGAGTCTTTAACAAAAAAATCGTAGATACGGAACACACCTTTCCAAACATGCAACTAATCTTCCCCACGAGCGAAAGAAACAAGAACTTTCAGATTCTCCTTATAAATTAAAAAGGGTAGTTGAACGTAAATAAAAAGTATGTACCGACAAACCCAAAACTTCAGGCGAAACTTGTGAAAAATGTTCCGAAGTACACACAGCCTTAATTTATTTTGTCGTTAATGAAAAACTTTTTAGTACGTCAAACTGTAAAGATTGTCGGCGGGCGCTACTTTTTTATTTAATAATCTCTTCCTTGTTATAAAGGGTTTGTTTGTTAAAAAGTTGGTGAAACGAGATTCATTATTTATCTTTAATTTTTAATTTTTTTTTTATAATTCTCAATAGATTTACGTCCCTAAAGTATTAAATCATGCATACACTAGAAGGACTAATGTTGTGCGTCACGTGTCGCCAGAGATGTTGGGTGGAGTAGCGCGACGTTGCCAGACTTTGGTCGACAAATCTGGCAACATCAACGTCGCTGTGAACATAAGTTGTCGCGTTACCTATAATATGTCGGGCGAAATCGGCCGGCTTTGATTGACATGTTGATTTGTCGACGATGCATGTTGTAGGACTTTTGTCCCCCTAGTGTATTCTTGGCTTTAAGTAGAAGCATAGTGACTAATTACTCTTGTTGTAAATAAATATTAGTCTGCTAACATCGTGTGTGTGGGACTAATAGTCTCAGTTTGATTATTGCATTGCAGAATATCAGATTTAAATAATGACATAACGTAAAATCATGCCTTTCAATTCTCGGAGAGATAGGGCCGGTGAACATAACTGTAGCTGTAGCCAAATGCCATTTAGCGCTTGTCTACTAGTAGAGTAGAAAACAAAATTATACGGAATTGACGTAAATTTAGACACTTGTCAGTGTCATGCATGTAGTTTTCTACTGTTTGTAGACAAGCGCTAAAGTGGCTTTTGGCTAAAGGCACAGAACGGCCTGTTTTCTGTCCCACGTAATAGGTGATGAACCTATTTGTAGTATAATACTAGGCAGAACTCCTGCTTTCATTCTTTTAGATAAGATTTCGTGCCATTTCTGAAATAATTATAACAGACCTATTGTTTAAGTATAATTGGTTTTATAACCAATTTAATATTGTTACTTAAATAATAATACAAAGCAACACTGACGCTACAAATTATATTTTTCAGTCATGGAGCCGCAGCTGAAATCCCAATTAAATCAGAAACCCTAGCAAGAGCCGGTACATCACTCGAAGACCAGGCGCAGCAGTTCATCATGGACAAACTGTGGCACTTCGTCAGCTCGCGGTCTTTGAGGTACAGGCTGCTGAATGATGCAGACCTGGTGATCTCTGGCAAACAGGAGAAGGACGGAAGCCTTGGTGTTGGTAGGTTTATTTTGTTATGTTTGACTGAAAGGGTGAGCAGAGGTGTATATTATGGCACTTAATGCTACTGTACAATGTAACACCCACTTTTCACTATTTATGTTATGAGTCCCATGTAATAGGGGGTGAGCCTATTGCCATAAAGTGGGCACAAAATTACAAACTTCATGCTACTACTGAGATTGCCCGACTCGGTAATTCAACCTCAGATAATAGGCATTGTAAGATATGAAATGTAATATTTGACTAAAGAAAATTAAATTGCCCCTATGTACAATTTTGAATGGCGATTGGTAAATTATTTATGGGTCTTGGTATGATGTGGAAAACATTTGTTATATTTTACATATTATGCCTCTAGACTCTATACACACTCATATACACTCATATCATACACAAACGGAATACATCACAAATCGATGACAAAAAATGGGCAATTCCAATATCAGCTCAGGCCGATACTTACATACATACCAATAGCCTAAAGGTGCCTTTCAGGTGTACTGAATTGTGTAATTGATTCGAGCTCAGTCGACCGCCATGCTGGGAAGTAATTAGAAGGGCCGATGCGTGGCTGTAATAGAATCTGCGTGAACGCTCGCCCGGACTTGCAGACCAATTTTGTACTTCGGACTGTAATGGCCAATTGGGATTTATTAGATGGAACTCAAATATAATATACCATTTATATGTTTAGCTACATTTATTGGAAATGTCAGGAATCCAGTTGTATGCTCTGTGTTATGACTATCTTTCTACGATGGTGATGTGATACATTATATTTCAGACTTTGAAATTCACCCACTGCTTTAAAATGAAATGCGTTGCGTGGACTGCCTCGTAGGTCGAGTTATCGCAAATGCGACTGCTGGGCAAGAGGTCTTGGGTTCGATTCCTGGTATGGACAAAATATTGCTGGGTTTTCTAATAAATTTTCAGTAGTAGCACTGAGTCTAGAATTGTGCCCGAGAAATGGCAATCAACCACTTAACCGATTGTGATAGTTATTAAAAGATGTATTTCTCTTCAATTCCAGGTGTATCAATGAAACCCCCAAAGGTCTTCGAAAGTGGAAGAGGCCGTCAGAAGCCGTTCGGGCCTGTGTTGGCCTTGGCTGCCCTTAAATTCGGATTATTCGGTGCCCTGACCTTCAAGGTCTTGGCCCTCATGGTCGGAAAGGCCCTACTGATCTCAAAGATTGCCCTTTTACTATCAACCATCATCGGATTGAAGAAGCTATTCTCTTCTCAGGTGACCGACTGATCATATTGCATGTTGCATGTTTCATTAAATTGTTTGAACCGTGCATGTTTGTTTTTCTTGACTGTCAAGACTTTTTTGACTGCTTTGATTACTCTGAGTACTTCTATTTGCACGAATATTTTTAATTTTTGACTGAGGTTTGGTTTTGGTAATATCACTAAAAAATTCTATTTTATGAGTACTTTTCCATAGCTGCGTGCATGTGTGAATTCTGCATGTCTGAACATTTTATTTAAACTTGAACGCACAATTAGAGTAAATTGCTACAGTCATATAAGCGGCACGATTAGTACGGAAAACGAGTCGAAATTGCTAACAGGGTCAAAAAATGGAACCATTAAACGAACAGATTAAAATCATCATCACTACATAGTATAAAACAAAATCGCTTTCTCTGTCCCTATGTCCCTTTGTATGCTTAAATCTTGCGATTTTTTTTAATAGATAGAGTGATTCTTAAGGAAGGGTTATATGTATAATACATGCATAATATAGTAGAGAAACACTGATAAATTTAGAGGTTTCTAATGAGATGTCGTAAATCAGCACGTTTTTTTGCGCTTATATTGCAAACGCTGGCCTGTACCCTACGAGATAGACCAAAGTAATGTACTACAGTATTGACCACCTACAAAAGTTCAACAAAAAAGTCCGCGATGGTATATGTCTATCTATTAGGGATAACCCACCATAACCGTTTTTTATCCTTTACTATCAATGGTTATTTACGAAGTGATTTTAAACAATACAGCATTAATCCTTATCCAATTAAGTACTTTAAATAAATTGTGCATTTATCATAGATCAATATGCTTTTTACAGCATGTAATTTAAGTGAATATTTCCGAAGATATTACAAATTTAAAAATGTAGGGACTATGTATTTGTTGCGGCGTTGTTGGCTGCGTTTCGTCCTAGAGCACTTCATGACTTGCAACGATCTGTTATGAACAAGGCCTTATTGTAAATTCTAATCTAATCAATCCTTACATTGTTGTTAACAAAGAACCATACTTATAAATTATTTTCTAATCAATCCTTACATTGTTGTTAACAATGAATTACTATACTTTTAATTGCAATATAAACAATCTTCACATTATTGGTAACAAAGATCTATACTTTTAAATTACCACCTAAACAATCGGCTTATTGTTACTAACAAAAATCTAAGCACTCTTACATTGTTGTGAACAAAGCCCTATACATGTAAATTGCAATTAAAGCAATCGATACATCCTGTGGCACTTATACGCGCAAGTATAATTTATCGACTAAGGGATAACCCCCCACTACTGGCCATAGAATAAAATATACGTCTTAGTTGTGTATAGAGTCACTCCAGATAAAGTTTTTCAACTATTAACACCGTTTTATATCACACAGTAATTATTGTAAGTCGAAAGTTGTGAAGTGAAAATAAATAAATTATTAGCAGCACTTGTGGTGTCATTTATAAAAGGGACTCCCGGAGCGCCATCCTAACAAATTTTGGTGTCAGAAGTGGTATCCTAGGAAAATACGTGAGTACTAGGATCTATAGGTGTAGGCGTCGCGAATTTATTTCCACTCGTCTGCACCATAACATTTGTTGGCTCCGTGGTATAGTAGTCCTATTGGTGGAGTAGTCGACGATAAGCCTTGGGCTCCTCATAAAGCCTAAGCCCGCACTGCTGCATTCCTCGTGGTCGACGTTAAGCCTCCGCTGTATAGCGTGAGCCCGCATCACGCAGAACACCTTAGCTGCCTTGTGGTCGACGGTAAGTCTCCACTTTACAGTGTGAGTCCGCATCACCGCTTCACTGCAAGGACCTATTCATCAAGGTTCTACAGACTGCTCATCAGCCATATATTCTGGGCACACCGTGTGTGTGCAGTGCAACGTGACGAAGCGCATTGGTAAAATACGACTCCCTGGGTCATTCCAAGTGCGTGTCGCAACTTCCAGAATGCTCGCGTATGCTACAATTTTACTGTGAGTTTTTCAAAATTTATTCAGTGTTTTTAAATTAATTAGTGAAAATAATAATCGGTGCAGTGATTTTCAATTTTCAAAAAAAAAAAAAAAACGTTTAATTTTACTGAAGTCATTGTTTTAATTTTAACTTATTATATATATTTTATTAATTTTAAATTGCAACTTTTTCAACTTTATACATTTTTACATTTTGTGCATGTTTGTCTGATGTTCTGTAGTATTAAATAAAGTACAAAAATTAAAATGGCTGACAAAATCACTCTTTCAGTTCTCACTAAATTCATCAAGCCATACAATGGAGATCGCGAATTGTTACCCGCATTCTTAACAAATTGTGAGAATGCGATAGCCTTAGCCACTACAGAACAACAGAACGTTTTATGTAAATATGTCATTTCGCAGTTGGAAGGGAAGGCTCAAGCAGCTTGTTGTTTAAAAAGATTCAATAATTGGTCAGAGATCAAACTATTTCTTAAAACTACGTTTGGAGAGAAAAAACACTCCACTCATTTATTAGTTGATCTACAACACTGCAAACAACTTCCTTCCGAAGACGTAATGCAATTTTCAATACGTGTTGAATCTTGTTTAACTAGACTACAATCTGATATTCACTACAGCTGCGATAGTGATAAAGAACTTTTAGGTCGCCTCGCCGCTATGGAGGATTTAGCTCTTAATACATTCTTGTTAGGGTTGAACTCTAATATTGCTCATATAGTGCGGTGTAGGAACCCAAAGAAGTTATCAGAAGCGATTACACATGCTATTGAAGAAGAAAAAATATACAATTTGTCTAAACTTTCTAATCGCTCTAAACAATGCACAATATGTAATAAAAACGGTCATATTGCTTCAGAATGTTATAAAAATAAAAATAAGCATCCTAATTTACATCATTTAAATTCATCTAATTTTAATACGCAGAGTAATTTTAATAATAATTCAGTGCAAACAAATTCTAATTTCTATAATCCAAATAAATCTTGCGCATATTGTAAAAAACGTGGTCATTTAATAAATGAATGTCGTAAACTTAAAGCTAAAAATAGCTCGCGCGATGCACATCACTCTACACTATCAAGTGGTCCTGCACCGAATACGAGTAACGTGTCGAACAATAATCGCTCTAATATACATCATGTCGATGCGTCTTTCGATAACATTAAAACTTTAAACTAAACAGGGTTCCGGATTCGTGTCTGCCGAAACCTTCTTATTTAAATGACACGAAAAGCTCTTCAAACTGTGTTCTTAAATTTTCCCCAACACAGGTTCGCGCAAATAAGACTTTGAGTTCTTCAAACTGTGTTCCTAAATTTTCCCCAACACAGGTTCGCGCAAATAAGACTTTGAGTTCTTCAAACTGTGTTCCTAAATTTTACCCAACACAGGTTCGCGCAATTAAGACTTTGAGTTCTTCAAACTGTGTTCCTAAATTTTTCCCAACACAGGTTCGCGCAAATAAGACTTTGAGTTCTTCAAACTGTGTTCCTAAATTTTCCCCAACACAGGTTCGCGCAAATAAAACTTCGAGCTCTTCAAACTGTGTTCCTAAATTTTACCCAACACAGGTTCGCGCAATTAAGACTTTGAGTTCTTCAAACTGTGTTCATAAATTTTCCCCAACACAGGTTCGCGCAAATAAAACTTTGAATCCTTCACACTGTGTTCCTAAATTATATTCAACACAGGTTAATGCGTTTACAGACACTTCTAAGTCTTTTAATAAAAAGATAAATACTAATTCAAATTTTCAAGACAGTCCCTCATCTCGTGATAAATCGAGTTTTATTTCTAGGGATTGCTCACGTGAGGAAACATTTACTATTAATTATGTGCACAATAAAGTTTCTCTACCTCACGTTTATTTAAAAACAAATGTTAACGATAAACCTTTGTGTTTTTTAATTGACACTGGTTCAACTATATCTATTGTAAAATTTTCTAGTTTACAAAATAAGCCAGTGCTTGGTTCCGAAATTGTAAAACTTAAAGGCTTAAGTGACAACGATTCCTATTGCCAATCTCTCGGGTCCATTAAACTCAATTTTGAACATCGCGTTTCTTCAAAAAGCAAAATAACATTTGAATTTATGTTTCACGCGATTAACGATACGATCAATTTAGATTATGATGGAATTATTGGTAGTAACTTTATTCAACATTTTAAAATTGATGTTCAATATTCTACCAACACTCTTAATTTAGAAGGTTATGAAATACCTATTTGTTGTAGCAAGCCATCATACATCATACCACCACGGTCAGAAACGGTCATTGAGTGTCCAGTTTCCAATCTGTCAGATATCGATGACATAAAAGTAGGTTTAATACTAGATCATAAAATTCGTGATGGTGTATTTTTAGCAAATTGCATAGTAAATTTAAAATCAAATAACAGAATAAATGTTTCTGTTCTGAATACTACCGAATCCGAAGTCGAAATAGACGACTTTCCAGTTAAACTTATACCATTTCACTTTGCTCCTTCTAAGTCAAACGAAGCTCAATCAGAACTCATTAATCAGTTAAGTTCTTTAAATATTGATCGGTCTGAAAAGGTTCTCGATCAAATGAGATGTTCTCATTTAAATTCAGAAGAAAAGAAAGCTCTGATGAAATGTCTTCTTAATTATACAGACATCTTTCATCTTGATGGCGAGCTCTTAACTTATACTGATGTAGTAAAACATTCTATAAATACTAAAGATGCAGCCCCTATACATGTAAAGTCGTATCGGTTTCCAGAAATACATAAAGATGAAGTTGAGAAACAAATCAAGAAAATGCTTGATCAAAATATTATTCGCCCTTCATGTTCCCCTTGGAATGCACCAGTGTGGGTAGTACCCAAAAAATTAGACGCTTCCGGTACACAAAAATGGCGTATCGTCATAGACTATCGGCGTCTGAATGATGTCACAATTTCTGAGGTTTATCCTCTTCCCCTCACAACAGACATCTTAGATCAACTTGGTCATTCCAAATACTATTCCACGCTTGATCTAGCGTCAGGTTTTCATCAGTTATTGTTAGATCCTAAAGACACTGAAAAGACAGCATTCAGTGTCACAACCAATAGCATTTCAGG